CTCACCCTCGTACCTGGAAAGAAACAATGCAGTTATTAATAAGAAGAGTTGAAATGAATGCATGCAAGATTTCACAGCTCTAGCATCACTCCTTCATAGTCAGCCTATGAACTTTTCAGCTCACCCTCGTACCTGGAAAGAAACAATGCAGTTATTAATAAGAAGAGTTGAAATGAATGCATGCAAGATTTCACAGCTCTAGCATCACTCCTTCATAGTCAGCCTATGAACTTTTCAGCTCACCCTCGTACCTGGAAAGAAACAATGCAGTTATTAATAAGAAGAGTTGAAATGAATGCATGCAAGATTTCACAGCTCTAGCATCACTCCTTCATAGTCAGCCTATGAACTTTTCAGCTCACCCTCGTACCTGGAAAGAAACAATGCAGTTATTAATAAGAAGAGTTGAAATGAATGCATGCAAGATTTCACAGCTCTAGCATTACTCCTTTATAGTCAGCCTATGAACTTTTCAGCCCACCCTCGTACCTGGAAAGAAACAATTCAGTTATTAATAAGAAGAGTTGAAATGAATGCATGCAAGATTTCACAGCTCTAGCATCACTCCTTCATAGTCAGCCTATGAACTTTACAGCCCACCCTCGTACCTGGAAAGAAACAATTCAGTTATTAATAAGAAGAGTTGAAATGAATGCATGCAAGATTTCACAGCTCTAGCATCACTCCTTCATAGTCAGCCTATGAACTTTTCAGCTCACCCTCGTACCTGGAATGAAACAATTCAGTTATTAATAAGAAGAGTTGAAATGAATGCATGCAAGATTTCACAGCTCTAGCATCACTCCTTCATAGTCAGCCTATGAACTTTTCAGCTCACCCTCGTACCTGGAAAGAAACAATGCAGTTATTAATAAGAAGAGTTGAAATGAATGCATGCAAGATTTCACAGCTCTAGCATCACTCCTTCATAGTCAGCCTATGAACTTTTTTCAGCTCACCCTCGTACCTGGAAAGAAACAATGCAGTTATTAATAAGAAGAGTTGAAATGAATGCATGCAAGATTTCACAGCTCTAGCATCACTCCTTCATAGTCAGCCTATGAACTTTTCAGCTCACCCTCGTACCTGGAAAGAAACAATGCAGTTATTAATAAGAAGAGTTGAAATGAATGCATGCAAGATTTCACAGCTTCTAGCATCACTCCTTCATAGTCAGCCTTGAAATGAACATTTTCAGCTCACCCTCGTACCTGGAAAGAAACAATGCAGTTATTAATAAGAAGAGTTGAAATGAATGCATGCAAGATTTCACAGCTCTAGCATCACTCCTTCATAGTCAGCCTATGAACTTTTCAGCCCACCGTCGTACCTGGAAAGAAACAATTCAGTTATTAATAAGAAGAGTTGAAATGAATGCATGCAAGATTTCACAGCTCTAGCATCACTCCTTCATAGTCAGCCTATGAACTTTTCAGCTCACCCTCGTACCTGGAAAGAAACAATGCAGTTATTAATAAGAAGAGTTGAAATGAATGCATGCAAGATTTCACAGCTCTAGCATCACTCCTTCATAGTCAGCCTATGAACTTTTCAGCTCACCCTCGTACCTGGAAAGAAACAATGCAATTATTAATAAGAAGAGTTGAAATGAATGCATGCAAGATTTCACAGCTCTAGCATCACTCCTTCATAGTCAGCCTATGAACTTTTCAGCTCACCCTCGTACCTGGAAAGAAACAATGTTGTTATTAATAAGAAGAGTTGAAATGAATGCATGCAAGATTTCACAGCTCTAGCATCACTCCTTCATAGTCAGCCTATGAACTTTTCAGCTCACCCTCGTACCTGGAAAGAAACAATTCAGTTATTAATAAGAAGAGTTGAAATGAATGCATGCAAGATTTCACAGCTCTAGCATCACTCCTTCATAGTCAGCCTATGAACTTTTCAGCTCACCCTCGTACCTGGAAAGAAACAATGCAGTTATTAATAAGAAGAGTTGAAATGAATGCATGCAAGATTTCACAGCTCTAGCATCACTCCTTCATAGTCAGCCTATGAACTTTTCAGCTCACCCTCGTACCTGGAAAGAAACAATGCAGTTATTAATAAGAAGAGTTGAAATGAATGCATGCAAGATTTCACAGCTCTAGCATCACTCCTTCATAGTCAGCCTATGAACTTTTCAGCTCACCCTCGTACCTGGAAAGAAACAATGCAGTTATTAATAAGAAGAGTTGAAATGAATGCATGCATTCCACTGTTCCTTCATAGTCAGCCTACGAAATTTTCAGCCCACTCTCGTAGTTTCAACTTATTTATTTATTTATTTTGTATTATTTCCAAATGAAAGTAAAAATAATGTTTGATAAATTTAAGTTGAGATGAGCAGAAGCCGAAAGTAAAAGACCTTCAAGACAATTTTACAAAAACGAATAGAGAAACATTTGTTATGAAATAATCGCGTATATAAATAATTAATCAAACACAAAACTTGAAAAGTTTGTTAATTTGGGGAAAGGATAGTAGATAGAAAAACTGAAAATATAATTCGTGATTTAAGTCTAAAATACTCGAAGATTATGTCGTCATTAAATTATAACCTGCTATCTATAGATACTTCCATTAATTCGCGATACCCAAGTTTTAAAATGAAGTTTTAAAAATGAAAATTTTTTATTGAAGCTTTTATTTTATTTTTAATTTCAATCTAATAGATAAAGTTTAATATTTCCAATAAGCAAAATAATTTTGTATTTCAAAATTAATTTAAATATCTTTTCGTTTTGATATTTGCTAAAATTACTGATTTTAACGCCATTCTTAGCCATCTTTCATCACAATGTAATTCTCTTTATTAAAAAAATATTTCAAAAATAAAATATACTTTTCTGAAACTTTATTTGAGGAATATTAGCTGATTTATAGCTTAATTAATCTAAAGTGAAACAAATATTATTTACTTCTAGGTTAAAAAATCGCAGATATCCATTTTTTAACACGATGGTAGCTGTTTATTGAAGGTGTTGACAGATTGATCAATTGGCACACGGAAGTTTATCTAATTTTTTCTACAGTGGACATATCTGTAAAAAATACTTGAGGAATATAAAATGAACGCCTTTTTTATAATTTTTTTTACCAAGTATTCTTAAAAATATAGGAAAATATTTTCCGTAATATTCTCCGTAATCTAATATTTTCTTGAATTTTAGGTTCTTTGGCATTAAACTTACTATAGTTATCGCTCTTATTTTCTTATGACGTTTATGGATATCCGTATTTACAAAAATTGGCACGTTTATACATACACACAAAAATTTCAAAATTCTTTTTAAAATATTGTTGGTCGTATTGTAGTAAGCTTGTCCATCTATGGTTAGTAAATATCATTTTTACTTAACAATATCACCCAACCGGGACAAAGTAATGCAGGAATTGAAAAGATTTAAAACTATAAAGTTTTCTAATTACAATATTAAAAAAACAAATGAAAACAATTGTTGTAAAAATTCATTATTCATGATTTTTTTTTTTTGAGACAGTAGTGTAGACTGTTTTCGTTCCCCTGCCCATGTCTAGGGATATCTCCTCTAGTTCTTCGTTTCCGCCTAAAAGCTATTAAATTACGTTTTCTTTTTCTCAATAGGAGTAGATAGGTTCATCAATCGTCCGGTTCAAACTCTTCCTCAGTCTTTTGAAAAGGAGTAGAGGTTTATTCCTTGTCTCCTGCTTAGGATTTGGGTTTTCGGCTCCTTCTAAAGTCTGTTCCTTCTCTTTCACTTGTGGTGGCCCGTTGCATTTTAGTTTTGTTTTCATCTTGTTGGGGTGGTGCTTCTTACTCCTTAACCCTCTATCTCAAGTGGCTCTTGGGCCTTGTACAGCATGAACATTATTGTAAAAAAAAAAAAGATGAACAGAATTTTTTTTTTTTTAAATCTAGGAAACAGAAGTAAGCTGCATGCTCTAGCGCGATAATCGCCATAATATTTCCGCCTTAAACATAGTTCTTTGCAATTATAACCACCGAGCTAAACATCCGGACATTTGCTATAAAAATTATTTAATTCAGTCAGAGTATTTTGTGCCGCCGGTGTGGTCACCACTCCCTTCCATCTCACAATTGTGATTCATGGTGACACACAAGACAGAATATTGTAATGGCTTACCGGTTTCTTTTGCCTCAGGGATGTTGGGATTACCCCGCCCTTCCTATCCAAGGTGAATTTGTTTTTAATGTTACCTTCTTCCAGCCTTTCCCTAAAGAGGCAGGACCTACAATACAGCGGATGGTTTGAATTATGCTTTTCCTTCTCCTAGACCGGTTGCCACCCAAGGCTATAGGACCCAGTGTGTCCTATTTAGCCATAGCTGGAGCGGACAGAGTTGGATGAATGAACTCGACTGGAAATCGAACTCAGCTCTCCGATTCCTCAATCCGAGCCGCTGACCACCGTGAGCCTTAAATCAGAATTATCAAATTAAAAACCTTAAAAAGTGTATCAATATTTACGTCGTATAAGCGAAAGCCCATGCGAGAGAGTTTAAAATAATATTAAGTCCAAGAAGCAGTACTCATTCTTCGGGAGAGAGATGTTGGGTCTATTGTCCTGCGACTGAAGCATTCCCAGGTGAAGTGATGAGGGGGCTTGGGCAATTTTTCCACGTTAAACCTACTGTAAACATCGATCTTGTGTCATATTCAGTAGCGACGTGGACGCGCTGAAAAATACCTATAAAAAGTGTATCAATTTCATTTGCATAGCTTGCAAATGAAATTTTTATTTTACAGTACAAGGGAGGTAATAATTCGTCATTAAAGGGAGGTAACACCTGAACGCTTTTTTTTAAAGTGACACACAAAAATGTCACGTTCGACCTTGACATAAACGGTCTCTTTTTACTCCCGGTAAAGAGTGCACTGATTTAATTCATAGAAAATATAGAGAAATGATTTCACTATATTTTGTTTCTAACGCCACGTCTTTTCGTTTTATTCATTATCTATAAATTGACATGCCTTCTCGGGAAAGTTACTACTACACAAAAAACGGTTTCCCGTTCCCTTTCCCATAGATAGAGATAAATCGATAGAGACAGACTGTGATAGCTAGATAGATAGATAGATACTGTGATAGATAGATAGATAGATAGATAGATAGATAGATAGATAGATAGATAGATAGATAATCAGTAATCAGTGGCGAATCTACTATAAAACTTATTAAATTTTAACTTCAGGACCATTAATCCCAAAGAGGCCTTGAAGCAACTTTTTTTAATGAGTGAATTTTTCACCAAACTCGATGGGTTTCTTTTTAAAGTGATAGAATCCGAAGCCAATGTGTTGAAATAGATTCTGTTGGCCTTAGAATATGTTCTAATTCCCATTTCATAGAGTTTCAAGATTCCCCTGCAATTGGTCAAATTTTAAAATTTTCCTAGCGGCTTGTAACGTCCAAACCCTCAGCTATATGAGTTCATTATGCTCGCCAGAATCTCTCCATATCCTACATTTTTGCTAGTTGGATCCACGCATCTATTTTACTGGTTTTGAAGACCACCCTATATCTGTTGAAACTTCAGGATCCCAACAATATAGTCCTTCCCTTGACGACAACCTCATTTAATAACCTTTTACCTTCAGTGGTCCTTGTGTATTGTATTGGGTAAGCAATTAGTAAAAACAAAAAGAGACAGAATTAGCGCGGAAGTGAACACACGCTCTAGGAAGAAAATTTAACTTGTTGCGTAATTTATGCTAAGTAAGATGTGTCAGAAGATGAAATTGTGTGAAGGCCTAAAATGTGCGTGTACATTATACATTTATCCACAACAAATAAATTAAACGAACATATGAAGACAACACAACTTGAAGAAATCAAGGAAAAAACAATGTAGTTATAGATTTCAACAATAACATGAATTTATATATATATATATATATATTTGACATACACAAAGTGATGATAGGTTGCTTGTTAAATGTGGCAAGTAAGATAAGATTGCAAAGAGTGTCCATGCAGAGATTTGGTGAATGAATGTTGATGGTTTAAGTTTGTTTGTGAAATTAAAACAGTTCGATTTCTGCAAGGCAAAATGTCAATTGTGTGAGTTCAAATAATAGTGTATATGTGTGTGACAATTGTAAGTGTTGATTCAAGTTAGGAAGAGTTGTATGCCTTTGACTGATATGCTAAAATTGGTTAAATGTACAATTACTATTTCGTAGTGATAATGTCACTTTTTTAGTAAATTGTAAATTAAGTTTCTTCACGCGGCAATAGTACTGCGAGTTGTGTCGAGTTGATGAGAGGCTGGTAGTGTTATTGAGTCAGTGTGTTGGCACGCGTGGAGTCTGCTGGCATCTCTCGAAACTCTGACTTGAATTAAGTTGAGCGATTCTTTTTTATAGATTTTTTGGGTTTTCAAATAGGCTCCAAACAGTTGCGCGGGAAAAAAGGATTTGTCTCTACATTTTTGTGTCCTTTTAACCAATGGGAAGTTGAGTTTGGAAAAGTGAAGTGATGATTGGTTAAAGGTTAATTTGGGGAAGAGTGCATCTTCCCGTAGTGGGTGACACAAACTCTTCTCGCTTCTGTAAGAATGTGGTTGTAAAGAAAAGAAAAAGAAGAGGAAAAAAACTGTCAACTTATAGTAGCAACAAACGTCTGCAATAGATTTCTTCTGTCTCTCGACCGCAACACTTGTAGCCAAATCACAGTTCAAACGGTAGTCCGTCGTTACAGGCAACGTAGAAACGACAAAATGGAGGTCACACATCCAACCTTCACTTCTCACCAGCAAAAACGTGTGTTCGTCCACCAAGCTTAGAAAATCTAAAATGCGCATAAGCGAAAAACAACGGCTTTTGTACACCAAGAGATCTTTCTGGTTGGTCTCGCCATTCAAGGGAGGGAAGAACATTAGCATAGATTCTGGTCCTTAAAGTAGATTTTTGCTAACTGCTTTTTGGTAATTTTTCTTCAGCAGATCGCACACAAAACACGAACTCTTTTTCGAGGTAGCTGATTATCTCTTTCACTACACTCCCCCCTGTCACATAAGTGACACTCAGGGGCGGGCCTCTTTATTCTTGAGCTTCTCCGGAGCGGGACGACTGTTGAAGAGGATTATGTGGTATGTTCTGAAGACTCGTCTTTGGAAGATTCTTCTGATCTGACAACCTCACGCACAGTCTTCGCTATCTGAAAAGGTGCTAGCCCTAACTCCGATCGTGATTATTCTTTTACTTCCTGAGCACTCACTGCTAGTGTCACTTGCTGAAGTATCTAAACCTACATGTGTCTTGGTATTTCATCAACCAGCACAGAACGCGAGTTACTGATTCCAGTGACATGCTCCACCTGATACCAAGTTGTACACCGGCTATGTGGGACTTTTACTCACACGCGATCGCCCAAGTCATACGGCGCCCGTTCTTTTATCTGTTCAGTTGAACGCGTCGCGTCAATGCCTCTTAACCGGACTTTGTACTGGTAAATTATGTTGGCTGGCGCAGTTGAGGGTGATACAGTGTCTTTAGGGGTAACGTTGTGCCAATACACCGCTTCCATTATGGAACACTGCTTCCTAGAAGCGATTCTCTTGACGCTTCGATGGCATCGCTCGATTATGCCATTTCCTGATGGGACATATGCGCAGCGAATTCTGAGGTGGTCTCCACACGAACCCAAAAAATCTTTAAAAAGTCCGCTGCGGAATGCAGTGTCGTTGTCAGTGAGGAGTTCCGTTGGAGGTCCACGTTCAAAGAACAACGCCCGCAAGTGGTCAATCACGTTTGCGGAATCCTGTCGACACAGACGTCGCCAAATAGTGAACCGGGTTGGGCCACAATCAATCAGGGTTAGATAGTGAGTTCCATTATGATGGGTGATGTCCATTCCAACACGGTGCCACACTTTGCTCACATTCCGTTGTCCTTTTGGCCATTGTACAGGTGCTGGGTCGATAGACTGACACTCCTTTCATTCTCTGACCACTGCCCTGATGGCAGCTTTGGATACGGAGGGCTCAATCTGCCTCACGAAATATAGAGTCCGTTTTACACCGGGATGCCCACTTTGGCAATGCACAGATCTGAGTTACGGTCGCTTGATGATGTTGCACAGACATGTCCTACTGGTTCTACCTCTTTCTTAACAGCGTCAAGCCATCTCTGGGTACCCTTATTAAATTATCTGCCTTGTACCGATTTGATCTAACCAGCTGTATATCCACTGATAAGTTGTATTCACTTACCAACTTTCCCAGTGTGTCTAGCCGCCTTCGAATGAGCATTTCGCCCGCAGCCTTTTGTAAGTATCCTGGCCTTCTCCCTAAGAGTGTCTGCTATCCACTTATGCACGCACGCGGAATCCGTGAACAAATGCAACACCTTTGCATTCCATTGAAGGGCCTCGGTTACTCCTTTGATAACGGCGTCCAACTCCGACAGGTTGATATGTTGTATATCCTTCTCGGGACGCAACCAACACGCGTCTTCCACGACAGTTCCATCTATTTCAAGAGATACCCCTGTTGCAAGGGAGTTCGTGTCGACCCAGATATCAAATTCACATCCGTCAACGCACCATTTACCACGTACAGAGTCGTCTTGACGCACCCTGGTAATGACTTCCGCTATGATGTCTCTAAGGTGAGCATCACTTGTTTTGTCATCCCAGCCGGAAGTGACAGCAATCACCCTACGTTTGATAAATGCAGTTGCAACTGCCCACAGGAAAATGTCCCACCAGCTTTCCACATAACGAGAACCCGCTGCGTCGTGTCATGTGTTTGGGAATGTCTGGGAGCTCGCTTCCATGTTTCCAGTAAAGCATGTTGTGCTCCCCCCAGACCTGCAATCCGAGCACACGAGCACCGTCCTCCAGTCGTTCTGGGTTCTTACACTCGATCCCAAAGTCAGCAAGATGCTTTCTCACCTGCGCAGCGGGCGCTAAGGTTTCGTTGATGTAGATGTCGTCAATGTAAGCTGACGTCGCTTGACGAATTGTCTCATCCTTGAATAGCACAGTATCCACGATGGCTTTCATGATGGCCGGCGCCACATTGAGCCCGAATCCCATTCGCGTTAGGCAGAATCTCCTCCCACTCCTCCCATTAAGGATCACCGTCTGAAATGGCCACAGTGACCGGTGCACGCGTACCTGCAAATAGGCCTTTCGAAGGTCATTAACAGAGACATTGGACCCCTTTCTTCTCCATTCTCTCAATTTTTGTGCACACACATCAGCATGAGCCGTGTATGTGTCTACATGTTCGTTCAGTTCTCTATAATCTAGCACAGGGCGCACCTTAACCTTGTTCTTCTGTGCTACAGCCATCAACGGGATGAGGTCTCTTGGAGGACCAAGTTCTTCCTCGGGATATGGAGTCAGGCATCCATTGTCCATCCACACCTGCAATTAGCGCTGGTATTCTTCCTTGACGCGTTTGGGCACCGAGTACTCTGACACTCGGTTCTGAAGCTTTTTTGGTGGGTTATTTTCCGACCATTTCCACAGTGCTGTCCACGTCTTCGTCCTTTGGTCGAACTCTGCGCTAAAGTCGAACACGAACTCTTTTTCGAGGTAGCTGATTATCTCTTTCACTACAAAGAAATTTCAATTATATGAGCATACATCAAGTTTTCATAGATAAAGTCCTGCTTAAGTTTTAAATTTCAATACTATTTATAGTACATTCTGACTGGTTGTAACATTCGAAGCAATGAAATGGCTTCTCTCCAAATTTGAGCCAGCGAGCTAGCGTATTTGGAGCCTACCTGCGTTGCAGGATTTTATGTTGTTTGGATAAAAATGTCACCATTATGTTGCAGGTATCACCTCTTTGTTTATGATGTATATTGATATTTTATATTAAATATTTATTGCCCCTGGAGCATTTATCCCGCAAACATTATTGGCGGACACATGTGAGTCCGGTTAAAAAAACAAAACACAAATCAATGAATATAAAGCAAACGACAATGCATGTTATTAAGAAAAGGAATTACATGTGTATACAATTTAAGAAGGGAATGAAACAGGCTATGAGTGTGTGCTTGTGTGTGATTAGACACGTGTGTCTATGTGTGGGCGTGAGAGAATTTGGTTAAGAAAGGACCATGAAAATAAACGTGTTCCAGTGGGGGACACGTTACCCACCCATCTGAAAGCAAGAGTTAAAAAAGAAAGAGAGAGAGAGAAT